CTCTGGGAAACTATATTTTTCCTTTCAAAACCTTCAACTGATTAGATGAGGCTCACCTTGATTACAAAGGTGAATAGGCTATAGTTAGTTGATTATAGGTTAATCACATCTACCAAAAAAACCTTCACTGAGCCAACTGGTACAATTATGTAATTGGGTATTATAGTTAAATCAAGTTGACACATAATTTAGTTTTGTCAGTTGTCTTGAAGATTACTCTTAGCCAGTTTGCTTGAAACATCATCACATATATCTCAGGCTGGCCTTGAATCCACTGTACAATTGAGGATGACTTTGAAAATCTATTCCTTCTATTTCTTCCTCTGAAGTGCTAGGATTACACACCACAGTTGGTTTCTGGAGTGCTGGAGATCAATCTCTGGGGTTTATGCATGCTGGATATTATTCTATCGACTAAACTATATCTACTCAAGATACTCTATTAGAGTAGATCTCTCAGAATACAGTAGTTAAATAACTGTAGTATGGTGCAGCTACATTGCGGCATACTCTAACAGCAATAAAAATTAACTACAACTCTCACCAACCTCATGAATGACCACCATGCAAAAAGAGCCCCAGGAGTGGTATAGCTGGATCTTGGGGTAGATTGATTCCCAATTTTCTGAAAAACCACCATACTGATTTCCAAAGTGGCTGTACAAGTTTGCATTCCCACCAACAGTGGAGGAGTGTTCCCCTTGCTCCACATCCTCTCCAATATAAGCTGTCTTCAGTGTTTTTGATCTTAGCCATTCTGACAGGTGTAAGATGGTATCTCAGAGTTGTTTTGATTTGCATTTCCCTGATGATTAAGGATGTTGAGAAATTCCTTAAATGTCTTTCAGCCATTTGAGGTTCTTCTGTTGGGAATTCTCTGTTTAGCTCTATAGCCCATTTTTTAATTGGACTGTTGGATATTTTGATGTCTAATTTCTCGAGTTCTTTATATATTCTGGATATCAGCCTTCTGTCAGATGTGGGGTTGGTAAAGATCTTCTTCCCATTCTGTAGGCTGTCGTTTTGTCTTGTTGATCATGTCCTTTGCCCTACAAAAGCTTCTCGGTTTCAAGAGGTCCCATTTATTAATTGTTTCTCTCAGTGTCTGTGCTACTAGTGTTATATTTAGGAAGTGATCTCCAGTATCAATGCATTCAAGACTACTTCCTACTTTCTCTTCTATCAGGTTTGGAAACAACCTAGATGCCCTTCAACTGAAGAATGGATACATAAAATGTGGTACATATACACAATGGAGTACTACTCAGCAGATAAAAACAATGACATCATGAGGTTTGCAGGCAAATGGATGGATCTAGAAAAAAATCATCCTGAGTGAGGTAACCCAAACTCAAAAAGACAAACATGGTATGTACTCACTCATAAGTGGATACTAGATGTAAAGTAAAGGATAACCAGACTGCAACTCACAACTCCAGGGAGGCTACCTAGTAAAGAGGACCCTAAGAAAGACACAGGAATTGCCCAACGACAGAGAAATGGATGAGATCTACATGAGCAAACTGAACGGGATGGGGGTAATGAAGGGTAAGGTTCGAGGGAAAGAGAGCTTAGGGGAGCAGGAGATCCCAGCTGGATCAAGAACAGAAAGGGAGAACAAGGAAAGAGATACCATGATAAATGAAGACCCCATGGGAATAGGAAGAAGCAAAGTGCTAGAGAGGTCCCCAGAAATCCACAAAGATAACTCCACAATAGACTTCTGGCAATGGTTGAGAGAAAGCCTGAACTGACCTACTCTGGTGATCGGATGGCCGATCTGTTGTGATAGAACTCTCATCCAGTGACTAATGGAAGCAGATGCAGAGATCCATAGCCAGGCCCCAGGTGGAGCTCCAGGAGTCCAACCAGTGCGAGAGAGGAGGGATTATATGAGCAAGAGATGTTGAGACCATGATTGGAAAAACACAGGGACAAATAGCCAAACTAGTGGAAACACGTGAACTATGAACCAATAGCTGAGGAGCCCCCATGGACCTGGACCAGGCCCTTGGATAAGTGAGACTGTTGATTAGCTTTAACTGTTTGGGAGGCCCCCAGGCAGTGGGACCTGTAGTGGGTAGCCATTCCAGCTTGGTTCTGGAAGTTCCAACCCCCATTGAGACTCTGGCAACTGTCACGCCTACGAGGCGGGGCGAGGGGAGGCGCCGGGGGACCAGAGAGCTGGATGGGTCAGCGCGCTCTCTCTGGGCGCTCTCTCGGTGCCGGAATGCTGACCGGTGCAGATTGACTGTGCAGAGCTCCGGAGAACACCGCTGGACTGCGTTACACCTTCCCCAGACCCTGCGACCTACCCATCCAGCTCTCGGGTCCCCCGGCGCCTCCCTTCGCCCCGCCTCGTAGGCGTGACAGTTGCCAGAGTCTCAATGGGGGTTGGAACTTCCAGAACCAAGCTGGAATGGCTACCCACTACAGGGACCGGGACCTGTTCTTGGTGCATGAGCTTGCTTTTTGGAACCTAAGGTCTATGCTGAGACATTTTGCCCAGACTTGGTGCAGGGAGGAGGGGACTGGACCTGCCTTGGCTGAGTCTGCCAGGCTGAGCTGACTCCTCAGGGGAGACCTTGCCTTGGAAGAGGTGGGAATGGGGGGTGGGTTGGGGGGGAAGGCTGGGGGATGGGAGGAGGGAGGACAGGGGAATCTGTGGCTGATATGTAAAATTAAATTATTTATAATATATATATATATATATAAAGAACTACTTAAAAAACACAAAAATAGCCCCACATGACTAATTCCCGATTCCACAAGACTATACCTACTTATGCAATATCTGCATTTATGCAAAATGCAGACAATAGTTTTGCCCAGACAGATATTGGCTGGAAGGAGGCAGAAGGGGAGGGATTCTGCTACTGGATGTGTATTCTGCTTTGCTGCTTTTCATTGGGTTCCACACTTGTGACCATTACTATTGTGCAAGGGTATGACACTGCAATAAAAAGTTCAGAAATTTGGGAGGCAGAAGCAAAAGGCTTTCTAAGAATTCAAGACTAGCCTGGGCTACATGGTAAGAGCTTGTCTCAAACAGAACAAAAGCCCCTTGAGAGTCAGAAGATCTGGATTTGCATCTTAGCATTTTTACTTATTGTTCTACTTGTGTGATCTCAACAGATGTGCCTAGCCTTCTCTAGTGCTGGCCTTCTCATCTAAAATCACATGCTTTACAAAAGCCTTTTAGAAACCACCTGTGGTTGATCACACCAGTAATCCCAGCACTTGATAGAGGCAGGAGGAATAGATGTTCAAGGTCATCCTCAGTTACACAGAGAATTCAAGGCCAGCCTGAGACACATGTGATACTGTCTCAAGCAAACAAACAAGCAACATGCTTCACAAGGATGTTCTGAGGATTAATTACATGTGCAAGAAAAAGAGATGTTAGTTCATGAAAGTATATAATATACATTATATATGAGAAAAATAGGGGGAAAGGAGCTCACACATATGTCAACTCCCCCCACAATTTTTTCTTTGAGGTTATCTCACACACATGCTTACCTTTACTGAAGCATCACACAATGTTTACAGGTATAAAGGCATTACATTCTATCCCATAATGTACAATAGTTATGATGTGAGGTGTAAGTCTTATAAAACCTCAGGCATATAGTGAGAGTGGTGTGGGGTCTTGACAGACTCCAGCAGAAAGAAAGGATTTTTATTTCTGTCTAGAGAGTCTTGGCACAAGGACAAAGACAACACCAGAAAATAACATGACAAGTGATTACAGTCTCTAGGGGGTATAATTAATAAAAAAGAATACAAATTAAATGCAAGTGACTGTGACAAAAGTGTAATTTGATATAGGCCATTCTCTAGTAGCTAGTGTGCTAGAGTGTGCTTCTCTGTCCTTTAACCAGATGTTGCTGCTTCTGCTCCCCTCCTCCCCCTTCTCTTCCCTCCTCCTTCTTTCCCTACTTCTTTTTGAGACAAGGTCTCACTCTGTAGCCCAGCTGTCTTGAACCTCACCAGGGAGCCAAGGCTGGCCCTGAATTCATGGCACTTTTCCTGCCTCAGCTTATGGAAGTACTGACTTTTAGTCAGATTTTTTTCCTATATGCAGTCCTATGATACAGTTTACTGTCTTAATCCAGCATGGTAAAAATTAATAACAATAACTAATAATACATATGAACAATGATAATAATATACTGTGGTAAAGCTGCTAGCATTGTAGTCCTTTTCAATGTCTCCTTTCCAGCTTCTCTAATTATGTGAGCCACTTAGCATCCTTGCAGTGAGTTCCTTTTCATAGCAGGCAAAACTAGTTGTTACCACTTGTAGCCAAAGACAGCTGGATGTCATAATAGACACTCTCCAAAATCAAATGTAGTTGGAAACAAAGAAAAAAACAGGTAAATGAGAAAAAAAAACCTAAATATTGGTGGGTTTATTGAAAATAGTTAAAACTTGTACACATTAAAATATTGGGAAATAGGGGGGTTGGGGAGATGGCTCAGTGGGGAAAGTGCTTATTGTGCAAGCATGAGGACCTGAGATCAGATTTGTAGCACCCAACTAAAAGGCCCGATGTAGCAGCACACCTATAATTCCAGAGCTAGGGAAGTGACGACACAATATTTTGGGCTTGCTGGCCAGCTAGTCTAGCAGAATTGGTAAGCTCCAGGTTTTCTGAGAGATTTGTCTTTAAAAAAAGGATAGAGGGCGATAGAGGAGGGCATGCCCATATAAATTTCATTTCTCCACACACAAATGCCACCCCCCAAAAGCAGGGAGAGAGAGAGAGAGAGAGAGAGAGAGAGAGAGAGAGAGAGAGAGAGAGAGAGGATTTGGGTGGGTGGGGATGTGGGAAGGATCTAGGAGGAGCTGGGGGAGGGAAAAACCATAATCAGAATGTATTATATGAAAAAAAGAATCTAATTTCAGCTCATTAAAGGTGGTGGAAACTTTTGAGGATTCGGTGGCCTTGTCACCACAGCTAGGTCTAGGTCTACATGTAAGCAGCCATCTATTAGAGACCAGCAGCTGGCATCGATTTGGGTGCAATCTACGACTATGTGGGTGTCTTCCAGCATGGAAGGGTGTAAATGATTGCCAATGGCCAGGACAACTGACCCTTACCAACATAGGTTGCTTTTACTGACTCAGAACAATTAATTGGGGATGCTGTGAGGAATGAGGTTGCAATGAACCCCACCAAGACAGTTTTTGATGCCAAACATCTGATCAGGCATAAGTTTGATCATGCCATTGTTCCATGTGAAATAAAACATTGATCCTTCATGGTGATGAATGATGAATGCAGGTCCAAGGTGCAAGCAGAAAGCAAAGGAGAGACAAAAAGTTTCTTCCCAGAGGAGGTATCCTCTATGGTTTCTGTAGATGTAACCAACCGTCTTATTAAATAAGAAACACAGAAACAATGTAAAAGAGAAAGCCGAGAGGTCAGAGCTCAGAGCTAAAATCTCAC